CCTCTTCTTTTCGATGGCAAATGACCGGATTGCGTGCGTTGTCTCACGCTTCCAGGTAAAATTGTCACGTGCCAAAGTTCAGTCAAGTGGAACGAATTTTGTCGCGTCCCAAGCTCAACTGAATGCAATTCCTTGATAATAATAATAATACTTTATTCAAATACAGAGTACAAAGAGTATTTGAAAAGGACCATGAGGTTATCCCTATTTAGGTCCCCTAACTAAAATTACAATCTAAAATTTAAAATTGTTGTAAAGTCAAGTATTTTCGTGTCCGCTGAAACAAAATACGATGATCTTTGTTTACCGTGTAACATTTCATTTTATTCAGTCTCCATTTCTGTTGGTTAAAATCCCACAACAACTATCTTTGCAAAGTGAATTCTTAATGCTCAGAATGTTTTTCTTTTCGCTCCGGATGATAGTCCGCTCAAGCTCCTGACGCATGGGTCACGTTAATTTTAGTCGCCGAGCTGGCGACTTGCGTTCTAATTTAGTCGCCAGCTCAAAAATTCTAGTTGCCATGGCGACTAAAATGGTCACAACTTGGAGGGTTGATTAATTAAAGGCTATTCACAACACTACGAAATATGCACCTTACCTAAGATGAAGCCACCGAGAGAAATCAAATTGCACAGTTCAAATGAATATCTGTGCTTTTAGACTGATAGTTGTAGAACATGATCCAGTGGATTTCATTTTCACATTGCATTTCTTGTTGTAGAAATACTAAACCAAAGAAGGCCAATTAAATATGCATAAATTAGTGTCAAGTGGCCATTTTTGCATGGGGTCCCCTTCACTTAAAGGGAATAAAATGTTTTGACCTAATTTTTTGCCACAATTGCTCGCTCGCCAAACCCAACATTTGTGCCAAGTTTGAGCAAAATTGGTGATTTGATTTGTATCACCTCCTGCCTGGTTCTGCCTGATTCTGCCTGGTTTCCTCATGTACACACTCTTAAGAACTTGGCAAAGCATATGAATCGACTTAATTCCCTCTCTCCTCTGGGAGAATAGGGTCATAAAGCATATGAACAGGATCAACTTAATGCTGAGCTCTATAAGCGTTATGCTTGCATCAGACATATTGTTCCCACTTGTTGCTTAAGTATGGAATGGTGATAATTTGTTCATTCATTTATTTATATGTATGTATTTATTTATCTAAATGAAGTAACACACCTTAAACAAATTAAACGTATCACAAATTACAAATCACAATAACATAATACTGTGCTATGGCTACTTCGATACTACAAAGTACGTTACTTATTTACACCAGGTGTTACTTACTTACATTAGGAGGAAAACAAAACAAAAAAAATCTGACAACACACATTAGCTACAATTAAATTAAACAGGGGAATAAACAAGAAAGAAAAACTAAAAGAAAAGGAAAACTTAAAATAATGTACAAAATAAACAAAAAAGCAAACAAACAACTAATAGCATGGGGAATGGGGAGAAGTAAGATTTAAAGTAGCCTAGTCTGTTAAGTTGGTGAGGAGCATAGTCACGTCACGAGTAGTTTATTGGTGTTAAGGTGGCCGAACACAGTTTTGTGCACGCTTTTGCTGATGCAATTCAGCACACACACAAGGATTGCCAAAAACAAACGTGCCATCAATAGCGCGATCATTTTATTTACTCAATACCCGCAGTATCTGTGCTATTTTTCTCTATAACTGAATGCAGCATATTGATGACGTGAGTCTTTTATTACAAAGATATGTTAGAAAAGGTAACGATGCAAAGAACCCAGCAATTCTAAGCTTTTTCTTTGCTACCGAAAGAACCCAGTTAAATGCAGCGCATGCATAGTAAGTCAAAGAACCACTCATTACAATTTCATGAAATTTGGCACGAAAATACTTTAGGAAATAAGTAACTGGGGTATTGAAAATAATTGAACTTTAACAATGGAAATTCTAGATATTCCAGTGAACCTTCAACAAGGGATAATTAAAGATCTCTGTTAAATTATTAGCAAAATGGTGTTAACTTGTGAGAATCGTTACAAGCTTGTTTTATGCAAATTATAAAGAAAATGTGATGACTAGATTTTCTGCAAATAAACAAAACCGATTTTAAAGGCCTGTTTATATTTATTCATGTTGCCATGGCAATGGCATATATGTCAGCTTAACCAAAAAACCAAAGTTTGTGTTAACTAGCTTGCTGCCATTTTTGACAACCAAGGGATCAAGGGTTTTAGAGAAAAAGGTGAATGAAACACAGGTATCAAAAATTGTATTCAGACACCTTAATTTACAAATTTTCAACTTTGTGTTTATAATTGATTCTAGTAATGAATTCAGTTAGTACAAGTGAACTGTTGTTTAGCTTACTTACATACACACAGAATTTCATGAAAGGGAGGGTGTAATTGAATTTTCTCACTAGCACCAGATATGTTAGGTGTTTAAAGGCAGCGAAAAGTGTTTCTTTTGTATCTGGTTGAAAGTTGGAACCATTCTGCGTGTTAAACCAATTAATGACTGCATGTGAAGGTCTTTGTAAATTTGCAGTTGATAAAGGTGTGATTTATTGAGTCTGGCTCATCACAGTAGATGCAGTCACGGTCTGTATTTATCCCATATCTGAAGAGTTCTTTCTTTGTAATGACAATCCTATCAATAAATTTGAACCTGTGTCATTATACCAGTTCCAAAGAAGGGCATATTTTTGATTTTGCTCGGTCTTAGTTGGCATTTCCTCGTAAGATGTTTGTCAGGCAGAATGGGAGGTGGAGATGACAATCGACTCCTACCAAAACTCAATCTTCCGTCTAAACTTTCTGCTCTGAAGGTTGTGTGTGTAATTGATACATACTACAGGTAGTCCAATTGTTTATCGAGTCACAACTCTGACTAGTGGATAAATCTGGCAATGAAACAAAACAACTGTAAATATGATGCATTGGCCTCCATTCTTTTTTCAGATGGTACATGATTGTTTTTTCTATTGCTGTTGTATTTTTAGGTCAAAACTTTCAGAGCTCCATGGTAATATGTTTGTTGAGAAGTGTGACAGGTGTGAAACAGAGTACATTAGAAGGAATGCGGTAACAACAGTTGGATTGAAGAAAACTGGAAGAATGTGTCAGAGGAAAGGTATCAGAGGACAATGCAGGTAGTCTTCATATTTGCATATTTATGGCAAAAACTCTCACGTAAGAAACTACATTTTTTGAAGTCTGGTAAAATAGTTTCTTATATTTTGGGGTAGTTATTGGCAATTTAGGCTAAAAAGGTTCTTAGGTTCTTAATGTCTAAGAAGTAGATATAGTTGTTGATTACTGGAAAAATAAATAAACTTAGGTTTGGTTCTTAAATATACAGTATTTATTCAAAACTGTGTTATGTATTTAATTTTTCTTGTTGCATTCGAGAGAACGCAGTTCTAATCGGGTAATGCAGAAAAATTTGAATTTTTGTGTATGTATCTTTCTGTGACACCAACTTGCCCCCCCCCC